TCTTCTAGAGTAGCTGTCGTTGCATTTTCATAATTCAAAGCATTAAATCTTAGACTTTTCAGCCTTCTCCCTTGCTTCAGTGCATTTGCCCTCATATTTCAAGGTACATTATATTCACCTAAGCCTTTACTCAAGTATTTATCTCATTTTTATTAGGATGACTGGTAACCCTATTATCGTCGAGAATGACTTAGAGGGTATTGTTTCTTCGTTTTCAAAAATGGGAATGGAGTATGATCGTATCCCTTCCCCCCCGTCAGTGGGAATTTTGAATCAGAAGTCATCTTTTTTAGTGATGATTCAAATATGGAAGGGTCGTCTGCAGAATCTCTTTCCAACGAAGTTTTTTCTACAGATCCTTCAGAGACTCTATTTTCGGTGAAGTTCAACGGGGTTGAAAACTTTGCAGAGAGACCTATGCCTTCTTCTGTCTTGACCGGGGAAGAAATAGAGGATGTTAGTCAAATGAGGGAACATGTTGGTCACTTTGTCAAAACATATCGAGAAGTGAATGATCATAACCTTAGTGATACTGAAATTGTTCATCGTATAGAATGTCAGGGGCAAACCAATGTTGTATTTTGGGTCAGTCCCGATGACCAACATAGAACTAATGTATTGGCCCATAAAGGTCTTTGATTAATATCAACCACAAGTTATTCCAACTATAATTATTATTATATCTTTTTATCAAAAAAAAAAAAAAGAAAAAAAAACACTCTTTTCAAAAGAACAAGTTGAAAGCAAATTGACTTCCTTGTGACAGACTGCCTTTGGCCCAAATGCAAATGACAAAGATATAAGTTAAGGGCATTATTATTTATTACGATAGTTGGGCATTATTATATAATTTAATAAATTTTACATTGAGTTCTTAAGTTTAATAATTAATGTAATGATTATAATAGTTCAAATGTTTTTCCACATCATATTTCATATTTGTAACGGTTTGTTTGTCACTTTTGTTTTGAATGGATCACAAATATATAGTAAATATAATTCTTAGATTAAGTATTTACACATTTATTATAAGAGATCCTTAATTTGTTATTGTAGATATTGATAATTATTTTAAAAAATATATCTAAAAAGACTGTTTTTAAAAAATTGTTAAAAAGGTTAAACTTAAAAAAGAAAAGCATTTAACTTAAAAAACAGTTCACATCATTAATATTTATAGTTACATTTAATAAATAAAGACTTTTTTTGTGTGTAAATAGTTGTATAAAGACATTTAGAGATATATTATATGAGCTTTTTAATCATAGAAAACATCGTAGATTATAGGTACCTTTGGGAAACCAAACTCTATCCTGCCCCCAAGAAGATATATACCAGCAGATCAATATGAAAATAAAAGATTAATGTTGTCTTTTTCTTTCTTTTTTCACTTTATTTCTTATTTTAACAATAACATTCGGGTGTCTCTTTTTGCCTGTTAATTAAAAAACAGTTCAATGTGCTTGCTGTTTTGATCAGACTAATATATATATATATATATATATATATATATATATATATATATATATATATATATATATATATATATATATATATATATATATATATATATATATATATATATATATATAAAGCATTCTGGATCTTTCCAGTCAACTAACATAAACAAAAGAGAGATAAATTTCTCACTCTCTTATATATATATATATATATATATATATATATATATATATATATATATATATATATATATATATATATATATATATATATATATATATATATATATATATATATATATATATATATATATATATATATATATATATATATATATATATATATAAATAAAAGAAAAACTCTCTCCAGCTACGTAATATATTGACGTGAAAATCATGTGGCAAAAAAAAAAAAGTTGCGACGTGATAATCACGTCGCTACATGTTTTTTTTAAAATATTGAAACACATGCAAGCACATAGAGAATGCAGATAAAATAATTAATAAATATGTTATGACGTAGTAATCATGTTGCAACACAAAAAGTAAAATACAAAAGTAAATGGTTTCAGGCTTTATAGAGGAAGCATGGGTTGTAACGTGGTAATCACGTCGCAATAAAAAAAATATTAAAAAAAAAAAGTTAAATGTAATCAGGCGTGCAGAGGTAGCAGATGAGAGAAATTTAAAAAAATTCAAATTTGAAGTTGTGACATAATATTCACGTCGCAACACTAAAGTGAAAAATAAAAAAAGACGTTAGTGATTTAACTTGACTTGCTAGTTTGACTGACACATTTATTAGTGTTGTGATTCTCACGTCGCAATAAATGTTACCGTTTTGAAGTTGCGACGTGAATTTCACTTCACTAGGTTATGATGTGAAATTCACGTTGCTGAGTTGGCTATATATATTGCCACTTTCTTTCTCTCGCCCAGACTTTCTGCACACTTTCTCTCGGCATATCATATTTCTTTTTCTTCTTCATTTTAGCAACGCTTTCATTCTCTTATAACTTCTTCATCTTCAAATTTTCTAACTTGTTCAATAATATATATTTTAAAAGGTAATTTAAATTAGTTTTATTTTTCGTTTTGAATTTATTAAATATTATGTGATATTTTAATTGTATATATAATTAACAATGTTAATTTTGTTTTCAAGATTTATCAAGAATATTGGATTGGTTGTTCTTCAAGACTTATCAAGGTTCAATATTGAAGCTATTTTGTTTATCTTTATTGAGTTATTTAAGCATTTAATTTTTTTTATCAAATTTAAATAAATATTTAATTGTTGGTGTTTGGTTGTATTGGTGTGGTAGGTTGTGCTAAAATAGAAAAATATATTGTAAAAATAGAAAATATTTTTTTCTTTAGATTTTAATAAATATATTGTTAAATAAATATATTATTATTTTTTCATATTAAATTTTAACATGTTTAATATTTTTAAATAAAATATTATATTATATTTAAATAAAAAAAGAATATTATTATATGCAGAATATTATTTTTAAAATATATTATTATTAGAATAATATTATATATAAGTCACAACTTGTCACGTGAATTTCACGTCACAACTTGTCACATGAATATCACGTGGTAAGGTTCTTACACATCCCTGCCATCATCTCTGCTATGACTGTTATGCCTGCAACTCTGTTTTATTTGTTGCGACGTGAAAATCGTGTGGCAACAGAGTTGGCACACGTCCTCCTACCACGTGAATAGTCATGTCGCTAAAATCAGTTTGAGACGTGATTTTTCACGTTATGAAGTGAATTTCACGTGGCAACATTCAGCTTATTTTGTAGTGTGTGTGTGTGTGTGTCTATATATATATATATATATAAAAGGAATATATATTTTTCTCATCTTCATGATCAAATTACTTGCCATTAAAGGCATCATTGATGATATTTTCATGCTCATCCTTTTTTTCACTCTGATGTTGCCCATCCTTTTTGATGTCACCATTTTGTTGTTTGCAAAATAAATTAATCTTCTAACTGATTCATCCAATTTGACAAACCAGTTCTTATTGCATGTCATATGATTATTGCAGCTTGTGTCAAGGTACCACATATTTTCTTTATCTGAGGCTAAATGTGTTGCAACCATCAAGATAATATCTTTAGATTCACTCTTACCATCATGAGCAAATTTAGCCACACCCATGTCATCATCATTGTGTTTGTTGAAATAGTAGTCTCGAGCATAATGATCAAACTTCTGACAACAATAGCATTAGACCTCCTTCATGTCAACCTTCTTCTTGAATTTCTAATTTTGATTTGCACTGTTCTTGCTAATTTCACCTTAGCTTCTTGAAACCTTACCAGCATCACCATTGTCATTCAACTTCTTCTTCAATTTTTCTTTCACTTTGTTATTTCTTGAGGAATTTTCTTTAATCTTCTTAAATAACTTTGCTTGCAATGCATGTTCAAATACCTTTTCTGAATCTCTTAGCTTCAGTCTCATTACATGTGCCTCAAGATATGTTTGCAATTCTTCAAGCTTCATCTCTAACAAGTCTTTAAATTCTTCAATTGCCACAACAATGTGATCAGATTTGACTTGAAGAGCCCTCAACACCTTTTCCACGTACTGCATTTCAGAGGCCTTTTCTCCACATGGCTACATCTGATTTATCAAAGCAACCATCTTTGAGAAGAACTCGATAATAGTTTTATCACCTTTTATCTGCATGTTTTTTTATCGCTTCCTCAAAGATTACAGCTTCATTTTCTTTAACTTTTCATCTCCACCATATAGCTTTTTGAGAGTATTCCAAACCTCCTTGTCAGTTTCTTACTTGATAATCTTCTCAAAGATATTCGAATCCACACACTGATGAATCAAGAATAAACTTTTCTCATCTTTCTTGCTCGATTCACGATGTGCATGCACAACTCTTTATGTCTCAGTAGCATTTTCCTATAATGCCAAGAAACCATCATTCACGATTTCAAACACATCTTGAAATAAATATGACTTTCATCCGTGCACACCATCTATCATAGTTTTCTCCCTTGAAAATTGGTAAATTGGCTGAAAATTGATGATGAAATAAATATTCATTAGAGATTAATATTAAAACAATTGAGATATTTTAGTACAAACTTTTTTTTTACCCGTTATTTAATAACACATTATTACATCATAAAAGTGATGTATGACCTTAAAATTTAGGGACATCACTATCATTTGGCAAAAGGAACTCTTATTAAAGGCATGAAGGAATAATTCTCTTTCTCATTAAGTAAATTAAAAAACTTTTGGACTAATTTGAGCTGGCAACACAAAATTCCCCATGAAATTATCGTCTATCTTGTTTATATCTTCAATCAAGTAGTTGTCATGTTTTTAACAATAAATACAAAACAACATAATAATTCCAAAAAGCCATGCATCCAATAATTAATATATAACACATACCTCACACACATTGTATCAAGTTAAGTACTAAGTTGTTAAGAATTAGGAACAAAACTCCACCTAACATTGACAACTAATAAACACAAGAAATTTATGGCAATGATGATAGAGAATGAAGTGAGTTTGAAAAAGAGTCAAAGGTACATGGAAGAAAAAGAGGTTAAAGGAGCACGTTGTGTTAAGAGACAAAGAAGAGAACATGTTATTGCACCAAAAACAGGAGATGATAACCATAAACAAAAGTTTCATGCTGGTGTAACTGACAATTCCACAGCTAACACTACCAAGAGAAGCTCAAAATTTCGCGGTGTTAGCAGGTGATCATAATAAATCATTTTTGTTCAATAACTATGTAACACTGACATATCTGTCAGATGTGTCAGTATCAGACATTAACATGACAACATATACAAAGATACATTTTATTAATCTATTATCTGATGTCAACATGTTAGAGTCTGTTGCTATCTCCGTATCTGTGTTTATTTTTCTAATCGAAGATGAATTGTATATAGGCATAGATGGACGGGTCGATATGAAGCTCACTTGTGGGACAAGCTATCTTGGAACATAACACAAAAGAAGAAAGGGAAACAAGGTAGAGTTTATCTTTTTTGGTTTCACCATTAACTCTATTAATCTATTGTTTATGATCATTAACTTTTTCACATGCTAACAATTTTTTTTTAATGTTTATGATTCTTTCCACTTGGAATTTTGGCTGGAACTTGATATTGGGACTAATAGTTTATCTTGGTGAGTATCTTATATATTTAAGTCAAGATTTTGATATATTCATTATGTTGAATAAGTGTAAGATGAGAAGTTATGTTTCAAATATTGTAGGGGCTTATGATGAAGAAGAATCTGCTGCAAGAGCTTATGATTTAGCTGCACTTAAATATTGGGGGACATCAACTTTCACCAATTTTCAGGTATCAGATTATGAGAAAGAGATAGAAATAATGAATACTATGACCAAAGAGGAGTATTTGGCCACACTAAGAAGGTAATATTAAATAAAAGTGATTTTTTCCTCTCTTCAATATAACTTTTTAACTTTTGTACCTTAAAAATGATGCATCTAATAAATTTGTCTAGAATTTTACAATATATATGTTTGTGAACACTTCCATAGATCACCCTATCATGAGTATATAACTTTTCTTTTTTATAATTAATTTTACAGAAAGAGCAGTGGATTTTCAAGAGGTGTTTCAAAGTATAGAGGTGTAGCAAGGTGATAAATACTCTTCATGTAGAATAAAAATTGTCTTGTGAATTGTTCGTCGAACTTGAAAGAAAACGTTGAATCAAACCGAACTAAGAACAGTACTGAAGTTAAAATAACTGAACTATTATGTTTGGTTAATAAATCTATTCTATGTTGTAAAAATATTTCTAAAACCAAACCGAACTAAGAACGGTACTGAAGTTAAAATAACTGAACTATTATGTTTGGTACTGAAGTTAAAATAACTGAACTATTATGTTTGATTCAATTCGAATAATCTTTTCCTATGATTCGGTTCGATTTCTTCTGACTAACCATAATTGTTGCTAATCAACATAACTCACAAATACTTGGTGAATATTTGCAGGCATCATCACAATGGTAGATGGGAAGCAAGAATAGGAAGAGTTTTTGGAAACAAATATCTCTATCTTGGAACCTATAGTAAGTTCAATCACACACACACACACAAAACAAAGATATCTTTCATTTTTCATTCATTAAAATCTCAATAACATATCTTGTTAATCAACAAAGGTACACAAGAGGAAGCGGCTCGAGCTTACGACATAGCAGCGATTGAGTATAGAGGAATTCATGCTGTAACAAACTTTGAATTAAGCAGTTACATAAAATGGTTAAAGCCAGAAAGCACCACAGAACCAAACCATGAGTCACAAACACTAGAAAAAGAGTCTCAAACAATAGCGTCGCCGAATAACTCGACTCTATTACAAGAGTCGAAGTTATTAGCCCTCCAAAAGAGCTTCTTCATTCCAGATTATAATCTGAATTCCACAGAAAAGCAAGAATCATCAAATGAAAACAAAAACTACAGTTTCTTGAGCAACAAGTCAACTTCTCCAACCGCGCTTAGTCTTCTCCTTCGATCTTCGTTGTTTAAGGAGTTACTTGAAAAGAATTCAAATGTATCCGAGGATGAAGTCGCGAAAGAGCAACAGACAGTTAGTGATGATGAACTTGGAGAAATCTTCTATGATGGTATTGGCAATATCTCATTTGACTTTGATCCCAATAGATGCAACATAGAATTGCAAGAAAGAGACTTACATTCAATATTTTTTACATAGGTTATGTTGTTAAAAGCTCTAATACTTATTTGATAATAATGATATAGATGTAACAAGAACAAGATTGATGCTGAAATGTGTTTATGGAAATCATGGTGTGTAAAAAGAATCTAGTGTTATTTAAATCCCCTAGTGAATACTTGAAAGATAAAATTTATAGCTTCTTTATCTCTAAAGATTTAAAACTATTGAACTTAGTGAAAGATGGTTGGGATCATCCTAAAATTTCTTAAGGAAAAGATGTTGATCTTTTAACTATAGAAGATGTTCAAAATAAAACTTAAAAGTTGCATTATAAAACCATAATCTTCTTGTTGATGTTATTTCCTTCAAAAAAGTGTGATAAGATCACCAACACTAAATTATCAAAGACGTCTATGATTTATGGTGTCTTAACTATGAAGAAAACACACGCGTGAAATAATTCAAAGTAAACATTTTGATAAAGAAGTATGAGTTGTTCAAGATGAAAGAAGTAAAATTTTCTCTAGGGTTTTCCTTTGTTTTGTGGCTTATCCTTATGTTTAATATTAGTAATTGAGTCTCTCACAATAAGAGTTGTTGCATATCTCCTCAAAATGGTAATTTTTTTTCATTCATAAAAAGTTTCGTGATAGAAAATCATGTTTGTGGATTTCGTTGAGAGATTTCCATTAAAGAAAAATAAGTCATTTGCAAATGGATTTGGAGTTTCTAACATCTATCATCAGATCAAAAATTAGGACATCCGCTATAATCGATTGAAGATTGCTGTAAAATGAGAGTTTGAATTATTTTTTATTTGTGAAGGTGAATTAACTCAAGACCATGGATCTTGGAGATTTTAGAAGCCTTGCGAGTTGTGCGCAATTGAAGAAGAATAAAAAAATTAATTTCTATAGCTTAGTGATCATTTCTAATTTTTTTAGCATTTTTTTTTTTTTATCGCTGGTACAAATGGAGAATGTAAATTTCATATTAGAAGACTACAATTTTTTTTATAATTTACCATCATACGAGGCGAATCACTAATTCAATATAAATATCATTGTATTATCTCTTTTACTCTTTCTCTTTATTTTCTGCTCATATTTTGCATGCTAGTTTTATTCCTTTTGTAGTTTGCATATTGTTAGTTTATTTTTTGTTCATAGAAATTTATTGTTTAAGTGTAGATTTATTTTAGACTAATCTTGTAAACTTATTTTTATATTCTTGTTGATTATACCAAAGAATTTAACTTTAGATTGTTTAATCAATTATTCTAATTAGACTCAAATTTCTATGTTTTAATTTAAGTAGTATTAATTCTACTTTAGATTAACAAGAAATGATTATTAGGGGTTGATGGAGAAGTGGTGACTAGTATGTTATTTATAGGAAAATTAAATTCTAACTTTCAAGTAACATGCTAAACAATTGACCCAACAGAATGATCCTATTCAAATGTTAACTTAAACAACAAGCTAAAATATTCTGCATGCAAGAACGGACTTCAACTACATTATACACATCTTCGACTTCAACAGAGCTCTTCAACTTTGACATAATTTGCTACAACACTCAACAACCTTGAAGATAAAAGTTACCATATACCTTACAATTATTTATATATGACAAAAAATTTACTATGTTTTTTTTTAAAAACAAGTTTTGTCCATCATAATGCCATCGTGGATGGTTTAGTTACAATATCAACTATATAGTGACTATTCAAACATGATACCAGGTTTCCTACAATGCCCTTTCACATCTTACTAAATTACACTATAATAGGGACATGTGGCAGTGAAAAACCACTTTCTCCCTTCCACTTATATTTTTTCTCTTGAAACATTTCATCCATACTTAGATCAGCTGAAGAAGAATTTTAATGACGATTGATACCATATTGAGAGTTGAAGTTTTTTTTCAGCATATGATAAACAACGAAAAAGATTGAATGAACTAAAGAGAAAGAAATGTGAAACTGCATAATTCAACCTTGGATTACAAATGAAGGAACTGAAATGAAAATATAAATTGAAATTAGAGCGAAAGTTTGTAATCAAAACTAATCAATTAATAACTAATCAACTAATGTAATAACTAATTAGCTTAATGAACTTAAATTAAACAAGTGATTTGCGCCAGATGTCAAAATGAATATTATTAAGCCATTTGAGTTTGTTTTAGATCAAAAAATAAAATTTTACTATTTTACACAATTTTCTATTTTATTTATGTTTTGGATTAAAAGACCATTAGGGTTTCATTACTTATGTATTTAAATACTTTTGGTGTGGCCGACATTATTGTTTTAGATAATCATAATATTATGTACTTTTTTTTATTTGGTGGATTCTAAAATTTTATCTGAGAGATTTATGGCATACGTGCATGTATTATCATTCTAGGTTTAAGGCTTGACAATTCGTAGATTCGTAGTATTTTCGATTGCATCATGTATAAACCCGTAATATTCCAGTTATTAAAGGGTGAAATTTTAACTATTAAACTATTAAAAAAAATCTAAATATAACAATAATTTTTTGTGAATATAACAATGTATTGAAAGTTATTTTCTATTAACAAACCGCTAAAGTAATTAACAACTATTTTAAAAGTTACTGACCACAGTTTATAGGTGTATATATTTTGAATGATGGTTAGTGAATATCATATATATTTAAACATTTAAAAATTGTAGTTAAAGATGTTCAAAAGTATGGTTAATTACATAATTATTTTCAATGGATGATTAATGAGTTGCAACAAATTATCATATTCATTATCCATTTACTCAACATAATTTACTGCATAATAAGTGAATTGTATTAACTATTAAAATTGTTTATAAATTTTTGTGTCAAAATTGTTTTAAAATATGTTGGTGAATAGTCTGCTAAATCATCAACTCGTAACAATGGTTGTTAGCAATCGTAGGATCACTTTATTTTCCCTTTAGATTTTTTAATAAAAACATTAATAAAGTAAAAAGATGAACAGAAAAAACAGTTAACAATAAAATTTACAATTATTAAAAAGATTTTAATAGGTCAAAATACTAGACATCATTTTCAATAATCAGTATTTAAAAATTGATTTAACTTAATCAATATTAAAATAATGAGTAATCAAGGTGATAAATGTAATGATTTTATAATAATCCTGAGCAGACTCACTTTCATAATCAATTAATCTTTTAAACACAAAGATGTATAAGCAAAAGCAAATTTAAATTCTAAAAATAGATTTCAGAAAGACAATCATACTAAATGCAGCAGCTCAAGCAAACAAGAGTAATGCAGCAACGGAAGGATTTACAAACAATCAGCTAACTTCAAAAGCACATATTTATTCAGTAACCTTCATTGAGACACAAAGAAAAAGAAGAATTTTTAAGTCAAAACGCAGAAATCAACTGAGAAAGGAGGCTGTAGAGTTTTCAAAGGAAGAATAGCAAGATTATTTAAACAATCTAGATATGTCAGATGATCTTAGGAAATACCTTAGGACAAATCCAAATACCTATAGAGTTTTAACAATTTGTAATAGCTTCAAATTTAATGAGAATGTTGCATGTTTTGAGTTTTTAATCCTATTTAATTTATCCTCTTGAACAACAATAGATTTAGCTTTATCTGTGGTACGAATAGCTTTAGCTTTATCACTAATTCTGAATGATCACCAGAAGCTAATTACATTCATCAAGTGTATAGACAATATGTTGCTTCTTCTGATGCTGAGACCTTCAACTTCAAAGTCTACGTCAGACATCACTTAAAAAGTCTTTAAGAATTTTTCTAAATTCCTAATGAGTTCCTCATACCCTCCTCACATACACCTTCATTTATAAAAATAAAATAATAGTACCAAATGTACAGAAAATTGAAATAATCCAAAAGCTAGGAATTGACAGAATATTAAACTTGTGGATGATAATAATAAAGAAAGTCTCATAGAAAGATAGACATTTGGATGTACACATTTTATAGAATTCTCTGCTATCTTAATCAGATAACTAATGAGATTTGAAAGTGTCAATGCCGTGTGACTTTGTATGTTTATCAATGTAGTACTAACATTTTATCTCAATGTTTCAGCTCAAAATATTCTAAGTTTTCCTAAAACAGCATATTGGAATGCAACCACTGATTGCTGCTCATGGGATGGCATTCAATGTGATGATCACACAGATCATGTCATTGGCATTGATCTCAGTAGCAGCCAGCTCTATGGTACTATGGATGCAAATAGTACTCTCTTTCACCTTGTACACCTTCAAAATCTCAATCTTTCAGATAACGACTTCAATTACTCTCAAATACCACACACGATAGGCGAGCTTTCACAACTAAGGTATCTAAACCTATCTCATACAACTTTTTTTTGAGAAATTCCACCTCAACTTTCACACTTGTCCAACTTGTTGTCTCTTGATCTAGGCTTCAATTTTAGGACAAGTCCCGGAGGTTTTGCAGTTAATTTCTTGCAACTCAAATTGTCTACTCTCAAAAGCATATTTCATAACTCAACAAAACTTGAGATTCTCCAACTTAGTTATGTGACAACTTTGTCTGCTTTACCTGACACACTCACAAATCTAACTTCGTTGCAAGCGCTATTTCTTTACAATTCTGAATTGCATGGAGAATTTCCAGTTGGAGTATTTCACCTTCCAAACTTTCCAACATTTATAAGAGATCTCAGTTATCTCGAATGGCTTATGTTGTCTAACAACAGTATAACATATCTACCTGTTTGGTTGTGGAGAAAATCAAGTCTGCAAGGTTTAACTATTTCCCACAGTTTATTGACAGGAGAAATAAACTCATCCATATGCAATCTCAAATCACTTGTGCGTCTTGATTTATCATTCAACAGCTTAAGTGGCAACGTTCCGTCGTGTATAGGGAATTTTAGCCGATATCTAAAAGTTCTTTTGCTAAAGGGAAATAAATTGTCTGGTCTCATTCCTCAAACATACCAGATGGAAAATACCCTTCAGATGATTGATTTCAGCAACAACAATCTTCAAGGTCAGTTGCCAAGAGCATTGGTCAATTGTGGATTGCTAGAGTACTTTGAAATTAGCCATAACAATATCAACGATTCGTTTCCATTCTGGCTGGGAGATTTACCCGAGTTAAAAGTATTAGCTTTAAGTAACAATAAATTTCATGGAGAAATCACTTGCTCTAGCAACATGACATGCACATTTCCCAAACTTCATATCATCGATCTATCTCACAATGAATTCTCTGGCGGATTTCCGTCAGAAATGATCCAGAGATGGAAAGCAATGAAGGTGTCCAATACAAGTGAATTACAGTACGAGCAAGGATTTGTTTACTTGAGGTTCAACAAGTCAGGAGAATATTTGAAAGCATATAATTCTTATTCTTTCACATTATCTAACAAAGGATTGGTGATGGTTTATAAGAGGCTTCAACAGTTTTATAGCATGATAGCCATTGATATGTCAAGCAACAAAATCAGTGGAGAGATACCAAAATTCATAGGTGAGTTGATGGGTCTAGTTTTGCTCAACTTGTCAAATAACATCTTTATTGGAAGCATTCCAAATTCCTTAGGGAAGCTTTCAAATCTTGAAGCACTGGATCTTTCTCATAACAGTCTTTCAGGGAAGATTCCGCAGCAGTTGACGCAACTCACCTTTCTGGAGTTCTTTAATGTGTCCTTCAACAATCTCTCAGGTCCTATACCTCAGAATAAGCAGTTTTCAACATTCCAAGGTGATTCATTTGAGGGTAACGAAGGTCTGTGTGGGGACCAATTGGTAAAGAAGTGTTTAGATCATGATGTGCATTCATTTTCTCCACCTACTACCTCTGATGATGATAATGACTCAGATTCTTTCTTTGAAATTGATTGGAAAGTAAGTGTAATTGGGTACATAGGTGGTCTTGTAGCTGGAGTGGCATTGGGAAGTACTTACAGCTCACAGATACTTGGATGGCTTAAAAGGGTCTTTTGAGTTGAAAGCAAAATGCCTCTCGTTCTTTCCTATTTATTATTTTCATATGTTCTTGTTTCTTTTTTCTGTTGTGACTGCTTCTAGTAAGAGCATGTTTTGTTTCTAGTTTAGTTGTTGTTAGTCTGAAATATTATGAAAACTAGTAAGCTCGACAAATCAATTTGCACATTCACACAAAGTGGGTTATGATGGTTTTGGTGGTGTGAATGAAGGTTCATTGAAAAGATTGTAACAAAGGTTACGAATTATTCATAATTCAGCTAGAGTTAGATACAAATTTGTGTCTTACAGACCTATAAATATGAGACTTGTTGTTTACGTCATTTACCATCTTTTTCAACTAATATACAATGTTACCACATCATTAGTATTAATATGGTCTTTATCTCTCTTATGGACTTGATCATTTTCCAACAAACTGAGATTTTTTGTCTCTCTTTCCGACCTCCAAAAGTCTTCCTCCAATATATTTTTTCCCCCTAATTAGAGACAAATTGTTTCAAAAATAAAAAATAAACTCATCTTAGTGCTCTATTCTTTCCCCTTCTTCTCCCACAGACTCTCAAAGAGGACTTAAGTGATACAATGAGATCAATCAAGTAAAAGACTAAAGCATAGTTGTCAATTTGCCTTTTGACAAAATGTGCCAATCTTCATTTCCTACTCCTTGTCCCCAATGATTTAAATAACAGAAGTGATTCAGAAAGCAATGAGTGGACCAAGCAATCTAGTTTATTCCATAAAGAAATTTATTATAAATATCACAATTCACAACATACAAATTCAATGTAGCGTTTTTAAAACTTAACATATTTTAACCAAATTTGACAAAAAGATCTCCCTTCTATATATTACAGAAGATTTCTTCAGCATAAGAATTAACTTATTTGTATCACAACCTTCTAAATAGTGATTGCCTAGTCTCTATCGAACGGCAACTCGGACACAGAATGCAGAAAGTGTACATAACAATGTCCAAACCAACATACAAGCTATCACAAAGAATAATCCGACTAAAATATGAAGACAACACTGTCATGAACTCTGGACTTCTGATTCTGAGCCACACATTCTGAAATCCACATAAGATTCCTGATCTCCTGCTCCCTTAACCTCATATATGCAAAGAACACAGCATAGTGAAACTGCAATATAGACAAAGTAGGATGGCTTAGTGATGAATAAGGCAAGCATACCCTATATAAAAAGCATTTATATTTTGAGCCAATCAATTTCCTTCTAGCGTTATGACTCTTCTGTTTCATATCCCTTGGTAGAAAAAGAGCCAGCAACCATTCAAATTTAAACTGACAAGCTACGTGGACCGAAAATTATGATACTCTGAACAGTTAAAAAAATAACCTGTTGCTCAAATGCTAAGCAATGCCTCTTGACCTCTTCCTCATAGAATGCCTTGTCAAGCATCTGGCTCTCTCCATATGACAGCTTGGCAAAAATAGACTGATAAGGAGGGTATTTTTCCATAACAGCACGAACCTGCATGAGCAACCATGTAAGAGAATTAAGTCCCAAATAGCACCACTAAAAGAAATCAACTAGAACTAAGAGGATACTATAGACAGCTACGGTGATTTTCAAATATTTCAAGGCAGATACCAGCACGAAATGATAATAAACAATTCAACTGCACAAGACCCTCTGAAAATTGGAAGCTAAAAGCAATTAAAGATTACAAATGAATAGCAAATAAAGATTACAAATGAAATAACAAGCAGTCGAATCATATATGCCTTGAAAATAGAAGATAAAAGTGCTCAAGAAAATTCGATGAAAGTTTGAAAGATATGCCTAAAACAAGAATCATCTGCAATTTAGGATAATCTCTGGATAGTTGAGGTTAAGGTCATATAACAATACTTAAATCAAAGATAAGACATATAATAAAGTTCAGCACATTACACTGACTTGGCTACTAATAATAAACACAAATCTACCACCCAAAGAAGCATACATATTGAAAGAGGGAAAACACCATATATCCACCAATATATTAACCTAACATATCACATAACTGAGATGCAAATATACCTGATCAATATCCTCACAGACGGCAAGTTCCTCATGACCATATGGGTAGCTGTTTTAAATGAGTCAGTAGTTAGTAAAAGAAGCATTACAAAGCAGTATATTGAATTTTAAAAAAATATAACTGAAGGATGAGAGCTTTTAAAAAAAATATAACTAAAGGATGAGAGCTTACAACAAACCGAAGTTAGAGTACAGTTTCCTACGGTCATCTCTGGTAAGCTCAGTACCAATGCTGCACAAAGCAGAAACCATGGATGCTAGTTATGCAGGTATCCAGATAAAAAAAATATATTAAAAACCTTCTTAGTGATTTACCTGTTAATGGTAATATTCACAGCCCTTCTATCAGCCTCAAAAGCTAGAAGGTCAGACATTATTTCAGCGGTAGCACCACCAAGTTTCTGTTTGGGAATAACATTGAAGATTATGAAAGTCAGGGGAAACTAAAACGGAATGCAAATAAATAGCTGTGGAAAAAAAGAGACTTGGACCCTTCACCTGACAAAATCTGTAAAAATCTTCAAGGTATGCCTTGTAAAGAGTGTTTCTCATTATTTCAATGTTCATGTCATCCAAGTCCTAGAAATAAACCAGAACCATGAGCACATACATCAATGAAATAAACCAGTTGCATACAAACATATCAAGCTAAAACAATAAAATTATAAAGTAACAAAACCAATGATGCAAATAAATCAAAGTATTGTCTTCCAGGTTGAAACCTAGCTAGTTGCCTTTCGTTTTTAATAATTTTACAGTACACTTTATATCAAAATCTATTGTATAGTATAAAAATTTGGGGTAGGTATAGAACTACAATTCTACAATAATCAACAAGACAGACTGATTGACGTTGAGCAAAATAAAGAGAAACAAAAAAATCTGGATATACGATTTACCTCTGATGTAATGCACTCAGAGAAGTATGGAGCCAGAGGAGTGTCAACGAGAACCAGCCTGTAAAGCTCCCGCATATTCTGAGCAACTGCCAGAGTAGCAATACTGAGGAGAGTCCCACCGGAAAAAAAGGAAGTAAAATCAATATTCAATGTGCCAACGTCAATATATCAAAAAATGCATAGAAATCAGGGTACCTGTCAAACATGCCCAGTGGGTGGCATTTTTCTAGAAGTTCTTGGACATCTCTCTCATGCAAGGTGCCAGTAACAATCAAAACAACATTGTCTATCATGTGACCATATCTGCAGAGTAGAAAAGAAAATATTGATTTCAGCTTTACTTACAGATACATGGACCGAAAAGTGGAAACCACAATAAGATTGATAGTGTGCCAGACACCAAACATGCTTTCAATCTGAAGTGTTGGAGTTATGTTACAATTACATAGACTTGTGGTACATTCAAGTAAACACAGTAACAGATCAAAAAGAAAATGCAAAATTCACATACGTGATATATTCTAAAAAGGTCGACAAGGGCTCTGTAGCTTGGCATAGCATGTGCTTGTAATCATCAACCAGCTTAAGAGTACATTTCTCCACAATTGTTGTAGTGTGCAACGGAGAAGGTTCTGCAACATGTAACTCATCATCAATCAGCATAAATCAACAATTTAAACCACATATTATCATCAAGCATACACCCTTGTATCAATACTAATAATCCTAATCATAAACTGAAAATTGATTCATCATTTACGAAAATCTTCATTCAACAAAGACAATTGAACTAAACCTGCACCAATAACAGTCTATAAAGCACAGACACCAGAAACACGATGCACACTGACCAATAATAATTTGAAAAACTGAATAAATTAAACGTAATCATTTGGTGCTTTAGAGATAATCAGTTAACTTCTCAACAAGATCTTATCGAAATTCACAACAATAGGATGATAAAATCATAGACTACATCCATCTTTCATCCATAGCAGATCAAATATCTAAAATAACAGTAACCAAATTACAATAAAACAAATTAAAATAAGCATATATATAATATAAATTTTCATGATAATTCTTCATGCATCAGCATTTCAAATCTACAAACAATCGAAGCAATTATCACAATCGAAAATTTTCCGATTAATTGATCGATAAATCAATAAACGATAACGTTGAGAACAAATTGCGATCATTGATCGGAAGAGGAAAAAACGCACCGTTTTGGAGATAAGGACCGTACTCGGTAGCGGAGAGATGCATCTTGATATCATCAAGGGTTTCGCATTGGCAGAGATTGTTGTAATCGGAGGTGGTGAGTAGACCGGAACGGTGACCACGGACGATTGCCTCAAGGTAACCGCCGTGGATGTTGAAGGTGAGAGCTTCGAAACCGTACATGTTGAATTGGATCTGGAATCGGGTCGGGTTGAGAAAATGGATCGAGAATTGGAGAGAGAAAGAGAGAAGCACCTCCTTCAGAGAAAATCTGAACCGAGAGGAAGAAGAAAGTGCCTGGTTGTAGTTCTTCTACACAAAACAATAATAATTATTATTATTAGGGTAACAGGCACAAATTAGGATTACTTTTGTTATTATTAATAAATAGTGAATAAGTAAAAATGAAAAAATTATCATAAAATTATTACTTTAATGAAATAATATATTTCAAGTGTATTTTTATTAATTTTTTAATTTTTAAATCAAAAACAATAATATGATTTGTTGGGTATGTGCATCCCCTATCTAATATATTTTCTTCCATCACATTATAAAAGAAATTTGAGTCAACAAAAACATTTAGATTTGATTCTAATTTCTGTTTACTTAAAGTTATAACTTATTTATTGAATATAAATTTTACATGATAAAAGTAAAATTGTTTTATATTGTTATTTTTTAACAAATTTATAATATTTGTTAATATTAATATATACAATTTGTTTTGAACAAATTTTAATATTAAAAAATTTCGTCGTTGCAAAATCAAAAAAGTCATAATTTGATGACAAAAAGAATTTTTTTGATATGAGAGAAATATTAACTAAACACTTCATTTAACACGAAGTTAACTATTTTTCACTAGTTAAATTTTTTCATAGATCCCATAGTTATCCTTAGAATTTTTTCCTTGATCAATTATTTTTTTTTATATTATTTTTTTAAAAAAAAATTTCCTTGATAATGATCATCCTCAAATCAATTATTTTCTTTTCGTTGGTCCAAACTAAAATATATGATCGAGATTTAAATAATGTGTGATATTTCACTTAATTAAATATCACTTCCAAATGTTAAAAGGAGATTGAATTTATATCACAATTTGTGAAGATGGATATTAAGTTGGACTAGAGACATGCACACATATTTTCCATTGTAGAATATTAAGTTCAAAGAGAACCACTTTGTTGAAATTAGAAGCATTATGAGTCAAGCACATTTTTCCAAAATATCTATTGGTAAATGGAGCTTAACTTTTCAAAATAAGGAGTTCTTGAATTTTCAATTTCTTTACTAGAAGACATTAGGTGTGTTAGAGCTTTAAGATTTTGGAACCTTAACTTAGATTTTTTTTTTAAGTTGTTTGTTTGGTATAGAGACTTTTAACCCTTGTTTACAACAATTTTTTTCGACTTAACTTTGGATTACAATTTATGAATTTTCATTAGAATCCTTAAAGGGAAATCACGATAGACTCGGTAGATAAAATACTAACAAAAAAGTCTTTGCGAATAGTCATTAGTAGGTTATCAATTTGATTACCTCTTGTAGTGTAGAACCTTTGATATTCAAGATGGAGTGATCAAGAGCACAATATAAACGGTTGTTCATATATTCAATTCATATAACAAAATCCGCAACGAATGATTCATCCACCTGCCATGCTAGTTGTAAACGAATGAAAGTCATAAAGAGAACACGAGCTCATAATTTTTGTGCAGAGTTTTTAGAATTCGTAAATTAATTATGGTCATTTTAGTGTAAGTATTCTATTTATATAACCACTTATAACATTGTAGCTTATGATGCACCGTGTTTCTTTAATTAGCGTTGTGCATCCTAAGAATGCACCATCAAATCATAAATTGAGTCCTATTCATTTATTTAATCACTCGCTTATTTTTTCTTATGTGTGTGACCTTGTAGGCTCTCGCATTATTTATAATAATATTAAATTGTTTATTTAATATTATAAACAAATAGTGGTGTCTAGAAATACATCACTACCCAAGTGATGATAATGTCACGTGACATTTTTGAGATAACAATCAAATGTATAAATTACGTTATTGCCTTTATATCTATACTAAACACGCAAAATAGTTTGTGTCACTCTTGTATAATTCAATATAATATGTCTTGATACAAGTATACTTAGTAATCTATAATCTATAACAATATATAAAGACAATAGTTAGTTTTGGTGTAGCTTTTTATATTCCAATTTTGTCCAATAATTCACACTATTATTCCATTAACACCCTTTACAAAAATCAACTACCTAGACGGTTAAAAAACTTCTAACACCTCACATTTTAATTTTTTTATATTAAAATTACTTTAAAAACTATTTTATGGTTATATCCTCATCTTTAGTAACAAATAATTTATTAATTAAATTAATTAAATAAGAAATAATAAATAAAAAAGTAATAACTGCTTTATAACTCACTAATCCCAAGAATCATGTAACAACTTCCGTATTTAATTAAATAAAAAATAATAATAAAAAAGTAATAATTTTTAAAAATAATTAACTGTTTTATAACCCACTAATCCCAAGAATCATGTAACAACTTCCGTACTTAATTTAATTAATTAATTAAATAAGAAATAATAAATAAATAAATAATAGTAACTTCTAAACATGATTAACTGCTTTGTAGCTCACTAATCCTATTATTGAATGAAATAGAAGCATATAACAACTTTCGTACTCAACTAATATTACTATATTTAATTATATATTTAATTGTTTTAATTTTGAAGATTTATAATGTATTTTATTTATGACTAAATTTATCCAAAACTTTTTTTTAATAAAACTGAATGATAATGATTATAAAGTTCGTATACTCTAAGTTTTGATAAATTACATACTTAAAATAATCACAATTACATATTATCTTTTAAAAAGTTAAATAATTATTGATCATTATCATCAATAATTTTTATCATACAATTTAATGAATTGTACGGATAAGTGAATTTTAATTGCCTAAAAAAATTAGTTGTAGTTCTTAAAATACAGTTTTTGAAAATATGATTAACCAATATTTTATTTTATTTTAAAAACAATTTTTAAAAATTTTGAAACAAAACATATTCCAGGTTCACATTCTAACCCCTAACAACATATAATCATCAAATCATTCACCAACACAAAATCATCCAAACATACAACACAATTGCATCATTACACATATCACATGGTTCATGGCAAAGAGGAGAAAATTAAATCAAATAGAAACAAAACATTCACCCACGTGCTATCATATAATTCCCTTATACAAGAGGAAATCTAACCATTACCTTAGAATTCCTAGCAAAGATCTCTTCCTCTTTTAGCAATGATGTTCTTCTTATGCTTCCCTTTTCTTGCCTTAGCCTTTTTCTCTTTTCTCTCTAACTTTTCACGTGTTTTGACTATGATTTCTTTATTCTCCTCTTTTTCTTATTTTATTATATTATTTCTAAAATAAATATTTTAGTCCAAATAAATAAAACAAACATTATTTCTCACTTAATATTTATTTTATTAATCCTAAATCAAATATTTATTTTATTACGTCACCATTACCATAATAATTAAAATAATTATTTAATTATTACTATTACTATTGTTTAGACCTTTATGCACACTGACACCCTCAACCCCTCTAAGGCCACTACGTTACACCTAAGGGTTCCTCTAACACATCAAAATATCAATCAACACATACAAGCACACAATATTATTTAAGAAAATTAATTAAATAAATTGGGACGTTACAAGAAGTGTTTAACCAAATTCTAACTGTTAAAGAGCGAGATATGAATAATAAGTTGCAGAAAGCTCGAAAAAATATTGATTAATATAATTTGTTCTTCAAATATAACTTAGTTTTCATATTATTATTTTCTAAATCAAATGAAAGGTTATATGTTTAGTAAGCGGTTGGTGAAACACGCATTCCACATAAATTATAATAAACTCAATTGTATATGTCACCATGGTTGAAATCTACAATTGTTGTGAAATATTGTGTGTTAGTTGTTTCATTATAGTTGAAACTTACAATTGTAGTCAAATGTATAATGTTAGAAAAAAATTGGTTTGTCTCATATCCCTTAGGTTTTGGTGATAACAAAGTATTTAAAGAACAATTGGGTATACTCATATTTGTTCAAGTGTGCAGGACCATAGACTAATATTTCATATAAAATCCAAGTATTGGTTCTGACTATGAACATTCAAAGCGAAGCTTGAGATCAAAATCTAATAGCTCAGAAACTGAAGACTGTACTCTGAAGAAGTAAACTTATGAAGAGGTCGACATCTAAAGTTCAGAGTCTGACGAAGTCAGTCTCTGAAGACCAGACTTTTGAGAAGTCTGCTTATGATGATCAGAATCTGAGTCACTCAAACCGCAAGGACAAAGGTGATTTTGATAGGTCACTTTTCATCTCTGAACATACTTTGTTACATGAAGACCTAAGCTTTACTTTCTTCATAGAGTCTGCTGAGATACAACTACTAATTCCTTTTGTATCAAAGGGCTTTCAAACTAGCATTCACCTAACCTGAAAATTTGGTGAAACATCCCAACATCTCTTTTGAAACTTCTTAAATGACTCTATTTTGGTGCATCTTCAACGAATTTTTTTCTTCTCTATTTAAGGAGCTAAAGCATTTGAAGAAACACATGCCAATATACAACAATTGACAACAAAAGGGATGTTACTTTGTCAAAGCAAGCATAAGTTAAACTTAGAATTTCTTATCCTCGTATATCTTAGAAATCTTTAATTCTTAAAGAATCTATTTGTTGTGTATTCTTTATACACCTCTTATTGTATATCAAGTATATTTTTTCAACAATCTTTTATCTGCTAGGTAGATTGTAAGAAGTCTTACTATTACAAAAATCATTTTTTTACCTCGGACGCAAAATGCATAATATCTCGGCTAAAGAAGCGAGATAATGAACGGCGACATGAAAACTTGCCACTTATCACTTCGGTGGAATTAAAATCGAGAGGTAAAGTTATATGGATATGGTTTCAAGTCCCAACAACCGTACTTTTATTATTTTCAAAATTAGTTTATCTTACCTTTCGGTTTACAAATAAAACTGAGGGGTAAGATTATTTTATTTTAAAGAAAATTGTTATATGGTTTATCCAAAATATTACACTTT